TTACGTACGTACGTAACGTAACGTAACGTAAAGTAAAGTTAAGTAGTACGTAGTAGTACGTACTCTCTCTCTCTCTCTCTCTCTCTCTCTCTCTCTCTCTCTCTCTCTCTCTACAAATTTGAAACATGAATCATTTTGGGTCTAATTTTTTTTATTTAAGCTAATATACTTTTGATACTGTGTTAATCCATTATTATATACAATACTAACAATGAATTTTGGATCTATCATAGATCTGAGTCCATATTAAACCTTTGGCCACAGCAGATAAATACGTGCTTGTTACACAACTTCCTTCACATATATGAACTGCTACAAGCACACCGTCCATGTGCACCAACATGACCATACATATATACCCAGATGTAGCGCTTATCATAATTACATGACGCTGCATGCGTTGACGTCGTCGTCGTTGAACAGGTTACTGATGGGGTCCTCACCGCGCTGCGGCACCGGGATGTGGCCGTGGTTGTCGCCGTTGTAGCCATGCCGCCAGTAGTTGTAGCTGTCGCGGAAGGACTCCTCGTCGTAGAAGTAGTCTTTTTGGCTCGTGAAGTAGAGCGGCAGGTCAGGGTTGGGCCAGAACTCGGCCTTCTTGCCGCTCCGGCGCACCTCCTTGAGCACCTTGTTCCGGTCGACGTACCCCATCACCGTCACCTTCTCCAGATCCAAATCCACCTCCACTGAGTCGATGCCTAAGAGAAGAGAAAAACGAAAAGGCTCTAACTTTCACTGGTTTGCTTACACGCGCTTAACAAAGAATGAAATGTCGTGTGAAGAGTATTAATGATTTGAGGCTCGAGCTATTGATGTAAGTCACTACTATTGTAATGATTTCAGTCACCTCTAAGCTTTTGGAGAGCGTGTTTGACAATCCTCTCGCAACCTGTGCAACACATCCTCACTTTTAGCTCCACTGTCTGCGAGGATGAAAAGAGTAGATAAAGCAAACAACACAAGTGAACAGTGCCGAAGAACATGCTAAAGTAAGTGGGTTACTACGATTCCTAACTTTCAGCCCAGGAGAAGAAATGTTGCAGGTCTAGTAAACCGTGCATCCTTTTGATTGAATTCTCTCGGAGAAAGCTTATTGATTCTGTGCTGACACAGAGGGACAAAGATTTTTCCCTTGAAACTAAACAAAATAGCGGGGAAGCAAAGGATGAAAGCCAACCTGCAAAGAAAGAGGCCTTCCCTTGGTGATCCTCATATTGATCATGTTATTGTCTTCAGTGTGGTAGTGGGTGTTGCTGCTGCTGTTGCTGGTGTTGTAGAAGTAACTTCTGTAATTGTAACTCCTGTGGCCGTCGCCGCCGGAGAAAATTGTGGAGAGCAAAGAGCTTAAGACTCTTCCCATGGCTCACAGGATTGCAGAACTAATTGGAAGTGGGATGGGATAGAGTTAGTAGAATGCAGACAGCACGATATAGTTCCGCCAAGGCATCGCTTCCCTACATCATAAACTATTATATCTGCTAAGATTCCAGTGGTTTCCTCTAGCGGCCTTCTTTCCTGCTGCCGGACCGTGATACTGTGCTCGTTCTTCAGTGCTTATTTGCTTTGGAATAATTTATCCTTTGTGCAGGGAATGATATCTTGGTGTCGAAGGCTTTCTCCCCTTATTAATGCACGAATCAAGGGTCAAGAGCCCCCACAGGAGGACATGGCAGACGCCTAGCAGAGAGAAGGAGAATGGATTAGGTGAAGTCAAGTGCTGGAGCTTGCAAAGGGAAGAACAATAATCTTAAACCTGCTTTTTCGTTTTCAATCTTTTCCGGACACCATCAGACTTATGCCTTCTGCCTGGAAGCAAACTGACGGGTAATTCCGGGCATTACCCACTCGTCCTCATTTTTAGTAAGCTTATATAGCGCATTGTAATGGAGAATAAGCTCCACCACTGTCATCACAAGAACCATATGTCCTGTCTACTGAGGAATCAGTAGCTTCAGCAGAAAACGAGGCCTTGGATCTGCACTCCACATGATCTACTTCTAAATTGCCTGTCTTTGGAACTAGATTCTATTCCAACCAAATTTTAAAGATAATAAACATATATAATAAAAGGATAAGGAATTGCTGTACTGCATATTAATTGTATCTTATGTTAAGAATGGAGGACACTTCAGCAGAAACAAAGCTGATGCTCAAGCAGCTAATCTTTATTTGTGTGCTAGGGATAATAAATGATTCAGTGCCTTGGTTACTAATTCATGGATCTTTAACAATTAGTTGTTTGACCAAAGACATCAACTTTATCTGCAAGGAATATGATTTCCCTGTGCATAATTATGATCAGTAATCATTATGGCTGTGGTGACAAAAGGACACCTAATTGCTTTTCCCTATAGAACAAATATATATAGGAGTGCCACATATCAGCTTAGCATTGATGTATTGGAATTCTGAGGAAGAGAGCCTACTAATTGGTGGAGCAAAATGGAGCTTTTGATGCTCTAAATTGGCCCTTCCTCCAAAGCCATACACAATGGAAGCAACTGCAAAGCTAAAGAGTTGAGGAAAGGAGCTTTTGATGCTCTAAAGCCAATGGTTTGGCTTTCTATATTACTTACTATTCTATAAAATGCAGCTCCATTTGTTCAGCAAAATATTGGAAGAAACAGATTCCAAGCTTCCTCTTGAATCCTCCTACGAAAATACATGATTTCCTATTGGTTGGGAAGCACAAACAATATCGCATTGTGCTTCGTCAACTGCGTGTTGTGATGGTTTCCACTAACGCAAGATTTGGTGCAGATGATTAATAGATAATCAAATTATCTATTTACCTAATTATGCTTATCTAAACTTGATTAATAGATAATTTGATCCAAATTAAGTGGGTTAGACAACAGTGAGCATACTTTTCCCTTTGACGACGACGATGGTGATCATCAACACAAATTTTGACGCGTTCATATCCTTTAAACCTACCTCTCCGTTTCTCCCGGTCTAATTGCGTAACCGAAATGAGTGGAGGAGCCATGTCGATCCATTCCGCTAAAGAAGCCGTGTTTGGACTCGCCTGTGGAGGCTCCCCACCACCGCCCTCCTCGATCGCGTCGCCCCGGCCGCACGATGGGTGGGCCCCGTCGTCCTCCGGCGCCGCAATCTCGCCAACGCGCTCGGCTCCCTGATCTTGGATCTGAGCGACCGGAGCGGGCGCGGAAGGCGATTGGATCGGAGACCGTGCTGGATGATTCATCTCTTTCTTCCTATGGAGGTAAAGCTTGCTTTCATCCCCAATCTAAGAATAATTCCCTACCTTCTTCTTATCAATACTAGTTTTCCGATTGCATCAGTGAGGTTTATGATCGAATCTCTTCGATTAAAGTTGCTAATTTAGTGCCTGTATTAATAATTTTAGATGATCCGCCAAGGACATAGAATCTCCGTCCCATTGCCTGTAGAACACATGGGCTTGATTGATCAAGCCCGCAAAGCCAATGGGCCAACTTATCACAATTCAGTCGATAACAGTTTCAAATAGGGTTAAAGAAATAGAGATTTTGGTCCTTTTTTTTATGATGACTGATCGAGCCTTAAATAAATCCATTATTATAAAGGAAATTTTCGACCCAGCTAAAGTTAGGCATACTATTTAGGTTGTTTTGTGTCATGGAGAATTTTGTTGGATGTATCCTAAGATAATTCTCTATGTCAGCTCTAAGATTTCATATTGATTTCATGTAAGTCCTTGAAAGAACCTCGGAACCTCGGATGTGGTATGATCAAGAACAAAGGAAAACCTAAATAGGACTCCCTGTCCATCATATCTAACCTCATAATAACTATGCTTTATGGTAGATATGGATGTGGAATTCACTGATGCGTTAACATTATCAAGAAAAATCTTACTTTTATTTTTGAATGTCCCTTTCTTACCATGGAACAGCACTCCGCATGTAAGAAGTTATTAGTTTTTGTTATACTAATTGTAGAATTGAGATTCTTGAAGAATGAGATGCCGTACACAATAATTTCAGCCGAATGTTAGCCACTTTGACATCACGTGAATGCCATAGTAGTGCAAAATTCACAGCAATTTACTATGCTCATGGATGGAATCACTGGAAGACAAGAGCCCCAGCAACAGCTTGCAGAAACCGCAGCTTTTCAACCTCTCTCTCTGTCTCTCTGAGGGCAGAAGGCAACCTAACAGCTAAGTCTCAGCTGTTTTGCCAGGGTTTTAGGGGGGTGTAGGGTGTGCAACTGCACTTCATGCCTGGACCTCTCCACCGGGCATGCAGAAACTATTTCGGTGTGTTCAAATAAAAGAGGAGTAAATGAGAGAGGGGCCAGATAGAGGATGGAGTGAGGATGTTCTCTCTGCAACGTTGTGTTGCTTAGATCTGTAGACATGCTAGCACATGATGATGCTGCTATACACTAGCATGCATACACAAGACAATAGGGCTCATCTGAATAAGTGATGACCGAGGGATGGAGGTATGAGTCAGCTATGCAGGTCCCGCATGAGCCAACCTTCTTCTTCAAAGCCATAATGACTCATAACACATCTTCAGTGATCATAACATTGACACCCAGAAGAGTCACTGTGAGTTTGGTGGCCAGTCTCAGTGACATGGGAGAGGTTGGGGACATTCCAAGTGGCACGACTCACATGGTAGCATCGTTTATGATATGGATATGCCCCATCTGGTGCCTCCTTTTTCCCAATATCAGGATAACTGTACCTCTACTGCTAAGTCAGTCCACATCTATAGGTAAAGATAATAAAATAATGGTGGCATCTCAGGATGTTTCATTGCAAAAGCATACCTCAATCTGGCTATGAACTACTGGTCCATGCACACACACACACACACACACACACGTTGTATAGCTCATACAGGATAGAAACTAAGCACGAAGACAGCAACATTGGTCAGCTGCCTACCTCGCAAGGTGAACGCTGCACGCACTGTATCATTTTGCTGGCTCCTTCAGTTGTCACATTCAGCAAATGGACCCCCTCTGATGATCAGTAATGGTAGTGTCATCAAGTGGACCTTCAGAAAGAAATCTGATCTATTTACGTATATCTGCATACTCCAATCTGATGGTTTATGTTATGCTCTGATCAGTGTATCACAATGACAGGTCTCTCCATCTTTGGCAGTGGGGATGTTTCATGGCTTCTGGTTTGCTGTTGTAGGGAACCATGCAATGGATAAGGTAAGAATTCCTTTTGAGCTATCTACATGAAGTGACCATTAGTTTGCAGTTAATAATAGTGTAATAGATCATATTTGCACTGGAGCATATTAATGATAATAGTAAAATAAAGAATTATCAATTGTTAAATTTTTTAACTTTTCCTGATCATTCTGGAAGATTAAGCTTATAGACGACAAATATAATGCATTTGTAGTCTAGTATCTGTTCCCCTCAAGTTAGTGTGAGCTAGCAGTGCTGTAATTGAGGGGAGTGTCTTTGCTGAACCCCTAGGTGTTGACTTGAAATGATTATAGATAAACTGCGCATGTCTTTACATATACCCGCATTAGGATGCAAGTGTATTTGTGAACATTGAGTGCTTAGAACATCAATTGCAACTATTCTCTATGAACTTTCATGTTGTTTTGGTTGTGTAAGATATTCTAATGAGAAGTTTTTTTGGCTACAAAAAACCTCCTTTTTTTGTTTTGTACGAAAGAAAATGTCTAAGAAAATACTTTATATGCTTCCAGAAAAAGTTAGCATTTATTGTTTAGATTTATTGTCAAAAAGCAAAAAGAAAATCTCCAATTTACTTCTTACAATTATTGCTAAACAACTTTTTCAGACTATAAAGCAAGATTTGGTTTTCGTACAGTCAAATACATAGAGAGTACGATATTTGCACAGATGACATGAATATTAAATAGCCATTAAAATCACTATAGAGCTACAGAACCATAAGGAAAGGAATTTTGGCTGTCAGTGCTCAACTTGTCACACTTGGCTCTTTAAAGGGAACATATCTGTGTGGTTGTTATTCATCTGCGTGTCCTATGCCCTGCGTGCTGGGAGTAACTCTGGCATACCAAAGTTGAAGGGCTCTCTTTTGTTCTTCTTACATCCGCCAATACGCATGTAAACTCATTTTAGAAGTTCAAGTAGAATAAACATAATGCATGAATAGAATTGCAGCTGATTTTATATACTGAATCATGAAGCCACTAAAATTTAACATTAAACGAGGGGTTAAGCCCCATGAGCAACTTCCTACCCTCTTTAATAGCTAATAAGTTGCTTCTTCGTCTGAATGCATTGATAACTATCTTCCACAAACTGAGATGATGTGTGTGTTTACCTGATGATGATTTGTTCATCTGTGTCAACTCTTTGGAAGTGACATAGGAGCTGATTGCAGGTGTTTAAAATATGCTGCCATGGGGAGAAGATATGAGATTCAAGTAGGCTAATGGACTGATGTGGCCAATTCTGAGCGCCATGCTTCGTTGGCAGACATGCTTCTTGATGCATATTATAAGTTTTCTTCTTTTTTAAAAAAATCAAGTAAAAGGAAGGAGGGACTTGGTCCATTATATTTTATTCAAAGAACACAGTACACAGGTACACAAAGAATAGTCTGAAACATGAAAACGAGAAGAGAAGGATGACAAGAGGTAAGACATCAACCATGTCACCCAAAGATGCTATCAGAGTTTAGGCATGCTGGTTTCTCTCTCTCTCTATCTCTCTCTCTCTCTCTGCAGGCTGTCTTCGTAGGTGAGTCCATGGAAGGAGATGGTGGGAAGATGGACTGAGAACTCAAAAGTGCAGTCACTCGTGAAGAATGAATGGGTATCGGACTTGCAGGTATCCTTGCTCGAGGACATGGAACCATTCAACCAAGGCAAAGTTTACTGCTTTGAAGTAGCACACTGGTAGTTGTGCAGGAAAAGGGCAGTGGTAAGTCATATGGTCTGTAGCTTGGAGAGGACCACAGGGATGGGGGGGGGGGGGGGGGGGGCGGCGAGGTGGTGGCGGTGTCTGTGAGGTCTGGCTCAGCATCAATTAACAGTTGGTGACAGGTAGTAAGGGAGCATCAACCAATATTGGACCTGTCGTAGGGGAATTAAATTATTAAACTATAGATAACAGGCGTCAGATGTACAACACTGCTGCAAGCCGTTGATGCGTTGTCACTGGCACACGATACACAACACGTCAGATAGAGTGACCTTTTTTTTTTCGTGTTAAAAGAATAATAAAAAAACATTATTTATCGCTTTTCTTTTTCTTTTTTTTCATTAGACCTTCAGATCATAAACTTAGAAAATAGCACGAGGATTCAATTTATTTTGGTATACATGAATCGTTCATTCATCAAACGTGTTTATATCGTAGTTGGGCAAATGTGCTGGAAATCCAAAAGCCTTCCAACTGTGGCACCGAGTGGTGACATGAATCAGCCTTTCCCACCTCCCTGAATTCCCTCGTCCGCCCCTCTTTAGGTCTACACTTCAGTTGGTACATGTTGTGATACTCTTCAAATTTGATTTGATGAGCGTCGAGTAGCATGGGAATATGGTGATATAGATTTTTATGTGTGTTAAGGTTATTCTCGATTGCACGACCAATCAGATTCAACAAAGCAATTGCATGTGTTTAGAATCATATATGCAATTGAAGGATTATTTAAGATACATACGAAATAAAAATACCAATATATTTGCATGAAGATTGAGATTGAAATATATCTCTTGAGAGAAAAGATGGAAGTACTTAACCACAAAAGTTGTATTAGGTTGTTCTTACCTTTTGATCCGCTGGTTAATTCTAAAAAAATTCTAATAAAAAGTATTTCATATCTTACTTGTACGGAAGAGTATAATGGTAAAGTTATTCTTTAGCTAATTTCGAAAATGAATAATCATGGTCATATGATTAGGGATTTTTGGTTATTATCAATACAGAGAAAAGTCGGAGTTCAAGGTGGATGCTAAAATTAATGCTGTTTGATGTGGACGTCAAACACTATTGACCCATTTATGATTATTAATTTAAAAAATACAATGAATCGATAAACAACTCAATTTACATAACGTAAATCCAAATGAGAAATGAACATCCACAAATATCAACAAAATATCGAAATATGAAATAGATTCAAGATTCCAACTCAACACAAACATAAAAGCTTAAACAGTCAGATTTTCTCGAATTATGGAAAGAGAAAAAAAAAATAAAGAAACGCTCTACGGTATCTATTCATGGAGAGTGAGATTTTTGGAACCACCAAAAACAAAAAAAAAATCTATGCTACAGGAAATCATATCACTGTCACAGCCTCTTCTTTGCCTACCTCCATTAGATGTTCTCCATGTGTAGCCCATGACAAGCAAAACCAAAAAAGACGTCCCAATAGTGACCATCAGAAGAGATACCATTCACATTTGTAATTGACAAAATCTTTCCACAGTGTGTGTGTGTGTGTGTGTGTCTCTCTCTCTCTCTCTCTCCAATTTCTTCTTCTTCTGAGTCACACTGGCAAATCAGGCTCAGAACAGTTTATTCTACAACTGGCTGTATGGGAGAGTCTACCCCATTATGTATATATATATATAGATATATAAGGACATGCTCACATGTGCTCAATTAGATGGCTTATGGTTTATCTCCTCCATTACTTTATGGAGCGGCTGCCATCGGTCTCCCTTTCTCTTATAACGTAGCTATCTTCTTTCAATTCTTCTCTGACCGAAACCAGTGGTGAAGCTGTACCCAATTCTTTCTCTGGAGGCCGTTCCTGTATAACCAGAATCTGGCGATGTACAGGTGATGAGTCGGTAGCAGTACCACCACCGGCGGTCTTCTGAGACTTCAATCCATCAGATGGAATTCACGCATGGAATAAGGGATAGGCTTTCGACCACTGATCGGCGAGAAGAGCAAGTCGAGGTCTCCACACACCTCCCTTTCATCCCTTCCTATCCTTTGCCGTCATCCTCGTCGACCGCTTTCCGGTGGCATGATGATTCTTCGGGCGCCGGCGATTGTGCTTCCACGGAGAAGGAGCACATGTTCTACAAGGTCGTGACGCCCAGCGACGTCGGCAAGCTGAACCGGCTGGTGATCCCGAAGCAGCACGCGGAGAAATACTTCCCGCTGGACACGTCGGCTAACGAGAAAGGGCTGCTGCTGAGCTTCGAGGACCGGACGGGGAAGCCGTGGCGCTTCCGCTACTCCTACTGGAGCAGCAGCCAGAGCTACGTCATGACCAAGGGCTGGAGTCGCTTCGTCAAGGAGAAGGGCCTCCAAGCCGGGGACACCATCTCCTTCGGCCGTGGCGTCGGCGATGCGGGACGCCACCGCCTTTTCATCGACTGGAAACGACGACCTGAGAACCGCGACCCACCGCGGATTCCACTTCCTGAGCTATCCTTTGCTAGGTCGGCTGGGCCATGGAGCGGCCGGCTCTTCGTCCCACCGGAGGCCGGGTGCGGCCACACCTGGCAGGGCCACACGTACCCTGCCGCGGGCTTGGGTACGGGCGGCGGGCAGTGTCTGTACTACAGTTTGCCGGCGGCTAGGCCACCGCAGATGGAGGTGCAACACGCAGGCCGCAGTGGATTCCCCATGGTTCTCGGATCGCCATTGCCCCTCGTTCGCAACCAGCCAGCCGTCAAGCGAGTTCGGCTCTTCGGCGTGACTCTGGATTGCCCCGAATCCGGAGGCAGTGTCAATTACAACGGCCACAGTCACTCCGTCCGCGTGCCGCAGTTGCATCCTGGGGCTGCGCTTCCGCTCCTCCAATCTCCGGGTACGGCCGGCGAGTCAACGCCGTCAGGCTCATCATCGGTGTACAAGAAACAACACTCACAACCGGATCTTTAAGGAAGAAGGATACGATCGTAGGGGACAAATATACAATGAATTGAACGTGAGGAAGTACTTAAAGTTGCCTTTTCTTGTTTCTTTCCGTTCTCGACTTCCTGATTTCTTTGGTTGAAGGGGTTGGAATAATTTGCATCCATCCAAATTATTCTTTACTCGCTCTCATTCACGGCCTTCTCTTGCAATTGTAACTAATAACATGGATTCAGAGAACTCTATCTAAGCCCTACATGTAATAAACAGCGGTAGTATGAGATTTTGCTTCTTGTTTCCTCAAACCTTTTCTTGGTCTTGATTAATCTGTATCATCGTACCATGTGACCTTAGTTTGTTCCGGATGCTCCTTCTCCAGCTACACCTTCTTCAAATACATCAGCAGGCGGCCGGAGAAGATACAGGTCAGATCTAGATCCCACACCATCCCTTCTTGTTTCTTGGTCCTACTGATTCATCTTTGCCCGCTGTATGTCAAATTTTCTACATCTTTTTGTGAAGAAACAGCATCAGTATTTCTTTAAGGTGGTGGGGAAAGAGAGGACCAAGTACTGTGTCTTCATGTAGTTCATTAAGATCATCAGATGTAAGCCAGGCTTTGTCTCTGCCGCATATGAATTGGTTTTGATTGCACCTGGCTCTGCATGAGATACCCGTCATCAATTTGGCTGAAGGATGTCTTGTTCGATTACAGGTTTAATTGTTTGGCTTTCTGGTCACTAACCAAATAGAAAAACTATTGATTTAGGAGGGGGGATAAAGGAAGAGAAATCAGAGAGAACAACAATCATCTGCCATGGAATTCTTACCATGAAAAATCATCTTGCCTAAGCATTATGGTTCTCCCTTCTCTCATCTCCATGATTCACTGAGCACACAGGTTGCCATTTCTTGGTCCTGTTTCTTTATTCTTTGCAGATCACTAGAGGAAGTTATGCAGATTCTTTCAAGAAGCAAGATTGACTCCATTCTTGACAGGTACATTTACATTAGGAATACTCCCTCCCCCTCATAGCCTCAGTGCATTCTTCAAACACTGTGCTATATCCTTGTATAGGTGGTAATTAAGCTCTTTCAAACATAGAAATTGCACCTTAGAGAAAATGATATGTTTTTTTTTATTCCTCTTAATAGCTCATTTTCATTCAAGTTCAATCTAGCTATACATTATAATAGTAGAGTTGTAGTGGCTCATCATACATCAATCATTTCTTTGATGAAGCAGCATGTATACCTTGATGATTATGGAACATTAACTAATATTTCCTGGACTGTGGTGATGCATACAACATGTTATGTTTTTGTTCTTAACTAAAATTACTGATTCCTTGTAACAATTAGGATGTGAAAAGAGGACAGTGGTATGTTTTTCATGTTCATATCCACTGTTTGTTCATAAACTGGATTTAATGTTGCAACTTTACATTGTTTATTCTCTTGGAAATATTGAATTCAATTAGGACGCGTTTAGAGGCTGCTAAGATAGCATCATGACAAATGAAATAGATCAGTGCAACACATATAATTACTCAGAATTATATGTATTTGTAAATGTGCATAAATACAATTAAATTATGACATTACACTTGAATGATAGTTGCATAAAACAATGCACTTGTTGAGTATCTGATTCCAAGGAAATAAATATTCTTACTGGTCTTTGAAGAAATTTAGTGCATTTTATGAACATAACATCCCTTGACTGATTTAAGCACATACATATTGAACTATAATGTCTCATATAAGGATTCAGGTGGAGATTATAAAGAATCCAAATATGAAAAGCCAGCATATTGATATTATCAAAATTTTCATTTTCCATATTACAAAGGCCATATCATAAAGACCTAATTTATTTACATATACTATAATTATAACAAAAGGATTATTTCTTTTGTTTCCAATCTATGAATGATGTTACTTTTTCTATGTTATATGAAGAGTCAGAAAGTGTTTTTTTTTATGTATCTGTTCTGCATATACTTCACCAGTTGGTGCACACAAGTCATGTTACTACTACTTGTCAAAAGCTTGACAGAGCACAATGAGTTTTCTGCTGCATACTTTGATGAACATTCTTTCTTGAGTTGGAAGTTTGAACAGAAAAGGTACACTTGA